CCTGGGAAGTGGGGCGGGGTTAAAATATTTCATTCTTCACGTAGACTGATTTAGTTTTTTTAATTCAGTAGTTTAAGTTCTTTTTTTTTTCATTTGCCTACACACTTTGCACTATACACTCTTTAAAACTGTATGTTTGCAGTGCTGCTGGAGCTGTGTTTACTTGGTATTGGATCAATGTTTAATTTAGCAGAAAACAGGTAGAGGTCGTTCTCCCAAATAAAGCAGCTCGAACARAAATTTATTGTCAAATTGTGTACAGTGTTTCCTCTGCCATTATCYAAGAGGGGTACCCCTTCCCCATGCCAATGAGCCCCATTCTAAGAATTTCACAGCATGTAGTCATTTTAATTTAAATAACACCAGATCACACCAAAAGATATTTCTGCTTTCACTTTTCCACATCCACCTCTCTTATAAAATGGCAAACTTAAAAAATAAAATAAAATTAAAAAAACGAACGAAAACATGGTTCATATTCTGCATCACCCATGCTGATACTTCACCCCCACCCCCCATTTGCGCAAGTCACCCACTACCCTAGGGGATATGCTGGTGTATCTTTTACCCTCAACTTACACTGCGTCCGGACCGACCTCTGCAGTAAAAACACCCATTATAACCAATGAAAGCATTTACACTGCATCCACACAGCAATCCACCAAAATTAGATTTGATCCTATTTTTGCAGGACAGCGGAGCAAATGCAGAGTCAACTACAAAGATCATGCCACAGCAACAGGAAAAGGAGTGACAACAACATCCGTATTTTCAAAATAATTCACCAAAGGCAGACTACATTTCGTCAAAATCCTAGCTACATTAATAAATATATGGGTATATTTATACATTGTCGAAATAAATCATTCTGTTTGGAAAGTTGACGGCAACATGCAGCAGGTGAACACACACAAAACATTTGGCTTTTGTTTTGAAATATGGATTAAAAAAGGAAGACAACAGCGATGCAGTTTCAGCTTTTGTTTCCAGTCATTCTTCCACAGAACGAATTAATTTGTGCTAACTTCCACATTCATCACTGGATTTATTGCACAATCTCACATTCCCTGCTTCTCAGAGCTCCTCTGTGCTTCGCAGCAGAATTGAGTGGAGCAGATACAGCTGAAGCAGATTTAAACAGTTAAAATAACAGAAAACAATCTGTGTTTTTACAGTGCAGCTGTAATTTACATAAATTAGCCCACATGAGATAAAGATCTAACATCAAATGTGATGTCAGCTGTGTAGTAAATTGTAAAAATATATTGAGGTAAAACTGGACCATTGTTAAATATACCAGTCACAGTCAACACAAATGAAACAATACTAAATTGCTTCACTGAATAAATGTTGATGAGTAACAAATGAATGTAAGCAGAATTTTCTGCCTGAATTGTTTTAATATTTAACGGTGAAACGGTGCACTCTTTACTGCTGTCACTTTTTATTTGTTGCTCTTTTTCTTTCATGTGGTTAGAAAATAAAAATGATACAGCCTGAGTTAGAAAATGCAAAAATATATCACATTAGTTATTTTATAATGATGGGATGTGGGCAGGTGATGGACATGTTGCTGTCTGCGTCTCCATCCATGGATTGTGAAATGACTTTGCAGCTGGTTGACAAACACATATTAAACTGGTAAAATTCATTAATGCTGCTGCTTTTATTTCAACTTTCTTTGCGTTAAGCGTGTGAGCCCAAGAAATAAAAACAAAACTGCCTGGGAAGCAGAAGTGAGATGAAAGCTGAGAGAAAATAGCAAACTCCAGTATTTTCTAATCCAGTTTATCAGCTTTAGAGGCAAGGCTTCGCTCAGCTCCAGTTCACCTCGCTCTGATTACGTTTGGCCACCTCTGGCTCAGCTTGCTTCCCTCCATCCACCCTCTGCTGTCTCAGTCTGGTCTGTRAGCTGCATAAATCAGCACAACAGCCTGGGTGTGATGAATGTTTCCAGCTGCAGACAGACAACTTCATGTTTCCAATCACTACAGCCGTCTAATGAGGAACTGCAAAGAAAAACAACTTCTTTTCTTTCACTAAAATCAGAAAAACCTCACAGTCCCTTGAGTAAAAACTSTAACCATGTGGATTACACTGGAAAGCACTTCCTATACATTACAAACAATACACAGACGGGTCAAATATGAGGTGAAATGCTTTTGGAAATGCTCCAGGATAGGATCAACCCACATTTGAACCCCACCATCTGCTCTGTTCCCCATGCAGCCATGACTAATGCATCTGTGACAGCAAGGCTCAGTCTGCTGCACCGCTCCCGTCCTCCTCTCTGACTTTTACTGCTTTTCTTTTCACACTTAGTCTAAATATGATTAGAAGCTCCTGTTAACCCTCAGACACCTCATGATTTGATGTAATTACATTTCAGAGGGCTGCAATGTGTCTTTAAACAATTATAGATGCATCTCAATTATCAACAATTATCAAGTTCGTTAATAAACACCAGCAGGCAGCAGCTGAGCTCAGAATGTGACTGTGACTTATTTAACACGCATAAATACAGATTTATAGATTTTCATCCATAATAAAGAGTGAARATCTTCTTAAACATCATGAATCAAAAAGGCAGTTGACCAACAATTCAAGACACTCGTAACAACAGCTGATTTTTATAGAGACATTTCTCAGGATTCAACAAAGAATGGTAAATGGTACTGAACTTATAGAGKGCTTTTSAAGTCCCTCRGGACCCCAAAGCGCTTTACACTYACAGARATTCACCCATTCACACTCACATTCACACACTGAAAGAAAAGATAAAACGATGTGAWAACAGCTTTACTGCAAARTGTTTACATTAAGGTCACTCAAGAAAAAAAATGTTTTTTTGTTTTAATTAAAATGTCAAGATAAAAGCAGAAACATTACTAACACAACATCTATATTTCTGACAGAATAGCTGACAGGAAATAGTGGCAACGTTGAAATGAAAGTGAAGGAAGTGAAGCCCACTGTGTTCCTAGACTCTACTACTTCAGTATTTATTATTATTATTATTATTATTGTTGTTGTTGTTGTTGTTGTTGTTGTTGTTGTTGTTGTTGTTGTTG